GTGAGGTACAGTAAACCCCACACTGTCCGGTGGCACCGGGGGGGGGGGGGGGGGGGCATAACTTTGGGACATGTTCTGTCTCTATGCGTAGTTTATTTCTATGTCGTCATTTTATTTTATTGACGTGAGGAGTTCTGCCTTTCACTAACATTGGGTGCTTTCTTTCTGCGGCAGTTTAATCCTTGGACTGGTCCTGGTTCAGAGAAGAGCGAGGGCTGGTTACCGTAGCAACGCACTGTTTACTGTCAGCAGTTAGCATTAGCCTTTAACATTAGCCTCTCCACAAACTGTTTTTGCTGTATTTCAGGTTATATTAAGTTGAGTGTTTGTGTTGAAGAAAGAAACACATGAGAAAGTTTAAAATGTTGTTTTCACTGAAGACGGGCCCAAAACTAATGTTTTACTATCACAGAACTGAGTAATGGTAATAACTGTGTCTGTATATGTATGTGTGTGTGTGCACACACAATTACTACACATACACACTCTTCTAGGCTCCACATGTGACATCACTTTACATCTGAAAACACTGAGGAGCACAGGGACTGGCCTCCTGCTGGGACTCTGAGGAGCACAGGGACTGGCCTCCTGCTGGGACTCTGAGGAGCACAGGGACTGGCCTCCTGCTGGGACTCTGAGGAGCACAGGGACTGGCCTCCTGCTGGGACTCGGAGGAGCACAGGGACTGGACTCCTGCTGGGACTCTGAGGAGCACAGGGACTGGCCTCCTGCTGGGACTCTGAGGAGCACAGGGACTGGCCTCCTGCTGGGACTCTGAGGAGCACAGGGACTGGCCTCCTGCTGGTCCCAGAGTCAGGACTAACCATGGGGAGGCAGAGTTTCAGATTCATGCTAAAATCTGGAACAGTCTTCCTGAAGATGTGAGACAGACTTCTTCTCTGACAAAGTTCAAATCCAGGTCAAAAACTGAGGGATTTAATCTTTAGTATTTTAATGAACAGAGATTATTAATGAATTTAACTTTTCTTTTCTTGTGTTTAAACTGTGTCACATTAATAAACTGAACCTACCACATTTCAGCCAAGACTGAATTTAACCAATTTAATAATAAATTCCAACTTTAATCCTGTTATCCCTAATTCCTTTAATCCCTAAAATACGTGTTTTCAATATTGAATCCACAGAATATTCTCAGTTTAGAACATTCTGGATGTTTTTAAACCTGTACAAAGGAAACACTGTTTCTCTGTTCAGTTTTCATTCAAACTTAAAAAACACTTTAAAAACATAATAATCTTAGTTTCATCATCTCCAGACACGCAGCCGCTCACGCTGACGTCACACACGGCGCGCTTCGGCCTGATGTGGCACTTCCCGCGGTGTGCGGAGGTCACGGGTTCGATTCTCCAAGGAAGAGAGGGAGAAGGAGAGGGAGAGAGAGAGGGAGAGAGGGAGAGGGAGAGAGGGAGAGGGAGAGAGGGAGAGGGAGAGAGAGAGAGACGTCGCCAATTAACTCGTGCAGTTGATGCGCGTGGACCCACGTTTGCGTCATTTTCTGACCTGGAAGACGAGGTCAGAGCATTTGCAGTAAAACCCCATTGGAATAGGTTTGCAGAGTCCCCTCAGTGCAGCAGACAGGCACATACATAAAGAACAAGGTTAGAAGTGCAGAAGTAAAACAATTCAATTCAAATTCAAATAACTTTATTAATCCGTGAGAACATTTACAGACAGAGCACCTGAATATTTTATATAAACACAGTAAAAGAGAAGAAATGCAACAGAAAATACATATAACAAAAACAGTTTCAGAACATGTGAGAGAAGATTCCCGAGAGAGAACAATACAAGAAACAATACAAGAAACAATATAGGATTTTTTACCATTTATTTTCACATATTTTCTTTGAACTGAAATTGGAGAAAACACACAAAAATCAATGAAATGATAAATGTAAATATTCTTAGTGTCATTTCTTAGTTTGGTTTGAAAATAATCACATATTTCTCTGTTTTGTTTTGTCAAAGGCTCATTAAAGAGTTCTGTCAAAACCAAAGCAGTAAATGAACAGAGAGAGTCCAGAACAGATTTAATGTTTATGTAAATCACGGGTGTCAAAGTCAAGGCCCGGGGGCCAGATCCGGCCCCAAGACAGTTTAAAGTGGCCCTTAAAACATGCTTTCATTATCATTAACAGTTCTGATGGTACTGGACGACTGATGGTCCTGGACGACTGATGGTACTGGACGACTGATGGTACTGGACGACTGATGGTACTGGACCGAGGCAGGTTACATCATACTTTCTCAGGTAAACAACCAAATGTAATGTATTCTAACATTTTAACCCAAAAACACATCTTAAGAAGTTAAATAGTTTAATATAAAATGTGTTTAACTTTATATTTGATCCAGTTTTGGTTCAATCTAAACAATAAACACATTTTCTTTTCAGAAAAATTAACCAGCAAAAATGATAATAAAAGGAAATATCTTCAATTATTTCGGCCCCGACGAGTTCCTATTTTTTTTAATCGGCCCCGGACCAAGATTAGTGACACCCCTGATGGCAAATACACGAATCTAATATTTGTGTCTGAGTCCAAAGAGTCCAGTGAATCTTCCAGAACATTACGCCGTTTTTTAAATAATTGTTACAGTTAGTTACAGTTAGTTAACGGTTAATTACAGTTGTTGTGCGTGTCTTTACGTCTCCTTCGCTGCTGTATTCACAAAGGCCAGAGCTCAGGCGCAGTCCTCCGGGAGCCGCGGTGGCCGTTTGCCTCCTGTAAAGCACAAACACATCCAGGTTATTTTGAGACTCAGGGAAATATCTTTTTATTATGAGCCGCGGATGAAGCGTTTACACCCGAGGGAATTCCGTAGTTACCGCGAGGAAGGGTAACGTACAGATATATAAGAGAGAGACTTAACCCTGGCATGTGTGTGTGTGCGTGTGTGTGCGTGTGTGCGTGTGTGTGTGTGCGTAGAAACATATTAAAAGTACTGGATCTTGGCTTTTCAGATTCAGTTTATTTGCCGTTTGCAGTAAAACCCCATTGGAATACGTTTGCAAAAAAGTCCCCGCAGTGTGCACTAGACAAGTACATACATACAAAATAGGATAAAAGGACAGAAGTGAAGCAATTGTCAATCTGAAAACAGTTTCTATATTTCCCAGTTTGCAGAGGAGCGATGGGAATACACACACACACACGCACACACACAAACACACGCAAACGCACACGCACGCACACACACACACACACACACACACACACACACACACCCTCCACCACCACCGCTGCCTCTCGCTGCTCTCTCCCCGGGACACAGTGCACAAAGCCCGGCGCAGCCCCGCAGGTAAGACCGCTCTCCGCCGCGGACCTTTACGTTCAGACCAGTTCACGTCCAGTCCACGGAACAGGACTAGAATTAATGAAGAAACATAACGTAGGATGCGCGTGCGTGAAGCAGGAAGGACTGGACCAGACAGAAATGTGTTTGTCACTGGAGATAATATCAGATAGAGATGTTTGAGAGATTATTTCACTGTTAAATGTTCCAGCAGCGTAACGTGCGTCGTTTTACATTCAAATAAACATAAAAAATACCACTAAAACGGTGATTATTTGCAGCACGTGTCAAAGTAAATCCTGTTAATTACTGCATGTTTTATTCTGATTGTGAAGCAGAGAAAGGCTTTTGTTGCACATGACGTCGGCCTGTTCAAAGCCTCGTCGCGCGCCATATGCTAAAAACTATTTTTGTTCCCAATTAACGTCAATAATTAAAGAGGCCATTTCAGCTGATTCACACGCCGCTCCCGCGTCACGCTCGGGGGTAATATTCAGGTTTAGTTTGGCCTCTAAAACAGACCAGTTCTTTTTAAAAACACAATATAAAAATCCAGTTCCGACAGCGGTGTGAGCGGCGGCTGCGGCTCTTCCGCTCCTGTCGCTCGCGTCTTAATTGGAGGAATAAAAAAAGAGAGAATGGAAAGAAGCGAAAGACAAAGCTCGTGTTTCCCCAGAGCCTCCGACACATCGTGAAGTCTCTTCAGTCAGATCAAATGTCACCGCTGCAGGCGACGCTGCGCCGCGAGATGTACGCGCGTAACCACCGCTGTACGCGCGTCCTCACACCAACAACAACAATGACAATAACACCAATAACAACAATAACAATGACAATAATATAGTATAGTAAAAATAATTAACATGAGCGGGTTTAGGTGCTGAATGAATGAACATGGAATAAAAACAGGACAAACGACAATAAATAAAAGACCACGACAAAATAGGAAAACATAGAAAAAAGGTCAACAATAAGACTTACTTTACACTTGTTCGTGTTAAAAAGGAGAAAGAAGAAGCTAAAGCTGAATTAATCCCGCCCCTTTCCCAGATATGTTAATTCAATAGTTTGTAATAAGTTATTATTGTTGTTATTATTATTACCGAAGGACGAGGTCTGCTGCTGCTGCTGCTGCTGCTGCTGCTGCTGCTGCTGCTGCTGCTATCATGGGGCCTCCAATTAAAACAACACAAGTTCGCTCAGGTGGGGGTGGGGGTGGGGGGTGGAGATGGGGGAGAGCGGGGAGAGCGGGGAGAGACCGCGGCGGTGATGGAGGTGGGAAAGCGCGTCTCGAGATGAGGAGTCCACACCTGCACTTCCCTCAAATCTGTTAATGGCAGAAGCTACAGCCACCTCCAGGGTCTATTGTCTCCGTGTGTCCGTGACTCTGCGTCTCCGTGTGTCCGTGTCCGCGGTGGGAGACGGTGGGAAGTGTCCACGTCTCAAACTGAGCCACGTTATTCCCACTCGCGCTTTAGATTTAGATACAGACGTGTTTTGTCAACTCACCTATAGATTCTTATGCTCCACATGTAAGCAGCACATCCACAGCCCCAAACATCAGCACCGTGTCTGTTTTACAGCTTCATAATGTATGACACAGAACAGCGTCCAGTCTGTAAACACAAATATGTTTTTATCTCATTTTTGTGCGTGATAGAAAAGCGGTGGATTTTACGCACGGCTGTATTGTAATAAAATCATCAACTATCTCCGTAACAAGAGTTTAAATGTGTAGTGCTTTATTGTGACCAGTGTTGTACATGTCTGCTGACGTCACATCACTCTTAAATACATGTATAATTTAATATGGTTAAATATTTGTGTGTAAACCCCGTGTAGGCCTTTGTCAAAGCAGACGCGAGAGTAAATCCCCTGTTCATTCTAAAGTATTTATAAGTCTTGTTCTTATTGTGGGACTAGAATTACCTCACGTCACAAGAATTCAACTTTTGCTACGTTTTTTGATTTTTTTGGGATCAATTACAGCGCGTGCACGCCCTCTAACCAATCACGATCCACCTCTAACCTGCGTCTAAACACGTGCTAATTCTGACTTTAACCAAACGCAAGAATAAAGCAGTGGGAAGAGACAAAAAAAAAAACAAAAAAATAGCTCAGGCCTAAATGAAAGAATAAAGTGGTGTCAGAACGAGCTGTGACAAAGATAGCGGTGTCTGTGTGTTTTCAGAAGGTTGTAAAAGTCCGTGTTAAACGCAGGATGGAATAACTCCATGTCCCCGCGTGGACACATAAACATGAGATGGAAAAGTCGTTAAAAAAAAAACCCCAAAAAAAACTTGTGCAAAGCGTAGTCCATAGTTTTTCTTACAGGGGCCAGAGTGACAGTTCTTTGTTGCCGAATAGAAACCAGTGGTGATGGAGTGAGAGCTGTAGCAGTGCGTGTGCGTGTGTGTGCGTTTGTGTGTGTGTGTGTGTGAGAGAGAGACAGAGAGACACACACAGAGAGAGAGAGAACTCCTCCTCCTCCTCCTATATGCCAAATGTATTCAGCCTGGGCCGGGTGCTGCTGCTCTCTTCACAAATAGGACACGGAGCTCCGGAGCAGCCAGTCCCAATCTGACCTCCGCAGAGGAAGCAAACACCGGGAAGCAAATCAACACAATCCCCGTTAACAGAAAACACACAAAAAACAGCTCAACTTTGTGCAGACGCGACCACACGCAGAGGCCTCACCGCGTCGGACTATACCCTGCGCCTTTTTCCCAGTTTTCTCCAAGTGGACTATTCCGGGCTGGTCCATGCTGTAGCTGTGTTTTCTTCTGTGTTTCCAGCCTGAGGTGAAACGCTTTCCACATTCTCTGCTTGTTGGGCTTTGCTTTTGGGACGCCGCCGCTGCTTGTGTAGAAACAGTGACTGATTTTTTTTTGTTTTTTGTTTTTTTTTTTGGGTTTCCTTCCCGTGTTTTTCCTCTGGTTTATGGAAGTTGTGGGCTGCAAGACAGAGCCAGGTAGTTGCCGAGTCCTGCGCGCCACCACCACCACCGCTGGAGCTGGAGCTGGAGCTGGGGCTGGAGCGGACCACGCCATGCTTTTCCACGGGATCTCGGGCGACCACATCCAGGGCATCATGGAGGAGATGGAGCGGCGGTCCAAGAGCGAGGCGCGGCTCGGGAAGGCCATGCAGATCAACGGGAGGGACGCGGTAAGAGGGAGACGGCAGAGAGACACACACACCCGGGGGAAAGAGCGAGGCCAACGGGGGGAGATACATGGGAGGAGGGTGTGTGTTCAGTCCTGGGTTATGGTTCTATCTGCTTTAAGTTCTACGCTTTTGGTTCCATTCGTCACAGAGATAGGGACGAAAACGCAGAGTGGAAATATAAATGTATAGGCCAAGACACAGCTCTAATTCATAAATATCTATATAACATTTATGCATCTATAGGTCTAATCTATAAATCTCTATATAAATGTGTGCATTTCTAGGTCTAATGTAAATCTACATCTGTAATTTATACATGTCCATCTGAAATGTACAAATATGTAGATCTAATATATATTTATGTTGCTCTAATCTACAAATGTATAGCTGTAATGTATAAATCTCTGGCTCAAACGTATAAAACTAGACCATTATATTATTACTTATACCTGCTCTTAGTTCTACATGTACAAATCACAGCAATGTATTTTATTATATTTATAACAGTACATTTTAAACATGGGCCTATAGCTTCCATCTCCAGCTAATTTAAAAAGGTATAATTCTGTATAAAACTGCAGGATAATTATAGGCCTCGTCCCAACGTGATACAAAATGTCTATTCTGCTGCAGTCACGGATAAAATAAATGTCTAATTAAAGTATAACGTCTGACACATTATAATTTAGTATTTTGTCTAAATTGCTTTTCTCTTCACGTGAGCGAAAGTCATTTTATTATTACAAATGTTTTGGCATTTGCAATTTTTTCTGCGCGTCTTTTCTCGTTTTTAACTCACGCCCAAACTCTATGTATTTGTCCTTGATATTAAAATAACAGTTTTGATAATTGTAAAGTGTGAAGCAGCGGAGGAGACACGGCACAAGACAAGTCCTCTTTATTTTGTCAAATCTCGCTGTTTCTTTGAAGAGAAATAAGTGCAGGTCTTTTGTCAACAACATCCCGCACCTTTATTATTATTATTATTATTATTATTATTATTATTATTATTATTGTTATTATTATTATTGTCATGGTAGAACTGGACACCGAGAATTAAAGGAGAGGCTGGAAACTCAAACGCTGCCAAAAATGAACGTTATTATAAAAGTATTCCGGGACTTAAATGACTGTGGGACCCCGTTATTAGGGAAGGACCTAACGCAGGTTTAAAGGGAGAAATTATACAGTTTTTACATCAAGAAAAAAAGAGAGAAAAAAATACGAATTAATGACTTAGAAACTGGAGCGAGCTAAAAAGGCAAAAAGCTGAAACGTTAATTATGACACTATTTATCTGCGTTTTCCTTCATTCTCGCGCAGTAAAATCTCGCTGATTCTTAGGAGCAGAATGTGTAGATATCTGTCAACAACATTCAGTATTATACTATTTAATTGTGTTGTGTTTTTGCTCAGTCCGTTTTGCTTCGTGTCAGAAAGGCCCAGTTTATTTGACAGCCCGTTTTTAGTCAATGCGTAACGAGAGGAACGTTGCGGGTATTGGCAGCTTTTGGATAGATATGGATCCGCGGGAGTTGGGTGGAGGTCTGTGGGGGTCTGTGGGTGTTGGTGGTCCCTGACTCTTGTCTCTGGCTCCAGACTATGCCCAACATGAACCCGGAGAAGCCTGCCCTCTGCGCGGGCTGCGGGGGGAAGATCTCGGACCGGTACTACCTCCTGGCCGTGGATAAGCAGTGGCACCTCCGCTGCCTCAAGTGCTGCGAATGTAAACTGGCTCTGGAGTCCGAGCTCACCTGCTTCGCCAAAGATGGAAGCATTTACTGCAAAGAGGATTACTACAGGTAAGAAAAATCACGGTGCAACCACTGCAGCCTGCGCCCGTGCGTAAAGGAAACCGTGCGTAAAGGAGCCCGTGCGTAAAGGAGACCGTGCGTAAAGCAGACCGTGGTTTTTATATGACGTATTTTTATATGAAGAGAAAGCGGCTGCCATATGTCACTGCTCTGAGGCCAACCACACGCTGCATGTGTGTGTTTGTGTGTTACTGCTATTAGTGCATTCTCTGGCTTGATTTTCTGATCTGTTGTTGGCGGATCGACAACTTCGCAAAGTCCTCCGAGGCTTTAGGGCTGCACACAAATACACTGAATGGAAAGGGGGAAAAAATAGTATGTATTTTGTCACTCGTGTCAAAAAAGGAACAGAAAACAATAATAATAATAATAGCTTACATTTCAAAACCTGCCTTAAAAATACTGTTTTTATTAATACTATTTGTAGCATTTTCTGTGTTAATAAAGAAATGGTTAATGTAGAAATAGTCATTTTCTGTCTTAATATTTGAATATGGTTTTAAGTGAGAGATGAGAAATGAGGCCGTTTCTATATTTCTATAAATCTGATCATTCAAAACCAAATGTTTGTTTCTTTGTGAGATTTTTTGCTGAAATTGTTGCAAAAGTCAAACCCGAAAAAATCGCGTTTTTGCGCTAATATTATTTGAGAACTATAGTTTTTCTATCGACTTTGAGACCAGAGAGAGACCAGAGAGAGACCAGAGAGAGACCAGAGAGAGACCAGAGAGAGACCAGAGAGAGACCAGAGAGAGACCAGAGAGAGACCAGAGAGAGAGGACCAGAGAGAGAGACCAGAGAGAGAGACCAGAGAGAGACCAGAGAGAGAGACCAGAGAGAGACCAGAGAGAGAGACCACAGAGAGAGACCAGAGAGAGACCAGAGAGAGAGACCAGAGAGAGACCAGAGAGAGAGACCAGAGAGAGACCAGAGAGAGAGACCAGAGAGAGACCAGAGAGAGACCAGAGAGAGACCAGAGAGAGACCAGAGAGAGACCAGAGAGAGACCAGAGAGAGACCAGAGAGAGACCAGAGAGAGACCAGAGAGAGTCCAGAGAGAGACCAGAGAGAGACCAGAGAGAGAGAGAGAGAGAGAGAGACCAGAGAGAGACGAGAGAGAGAGACCAGAGAGAGACCAGAGAGAGAGACCAGAGAGAGACCAGAGAGAGAGACCAGAGAGAGACCAGAGAGAGAGACCAGAGAGAGACCAGAGAGAGACCAGAGAGAGACCAGAGTGAGACCAGAGAGAGACAAGAGAGAGACCAGAGAGAGGGACCAGAGAGAGACCAGAGAGAGTCCAGAGAGAGTCCAGAGAGAGACCAGAGAGAGACCAGAGAGAGTCCAGAGAGAGACCAGAGAGAGTCCAGAGAGAGACCAGAGAGAGACCAGAGAGAGAGAGAGAGAGAGAGTCCAGAGAGAGACCAGAGAGAGACCAGAGAGAGAGAGAGAGAGAGACCAGAGAGAGACCAGAGTGAGACCAGAGAGAGAGACCAGAGAGAGACAAGAGAGAGGGACCAGAGAGAGACCAGAGAGAGAGACCAGAGAGAGGGACCAGAGAGAGAGACCAGAGAGAGAGACCAGAGAGATACCAGAGAGAGACCAGAGAGAGACCAGAGAGAGACCAGAGAGAGAGAGAGAGAGAGACCAGAGAGAGAGAGAGAGAGAGACCAGAGAGAGACCAGAGAGAGAGACCAGAGAGAGACCAGAGAGAGACCAGAGAGAGACCAGAGAGAGAGACCAGAGAGAGACCAGAGAGAGACCAGAGAGAGACCAGAGAGAGACCAGAGAGAGACCAGAGAGAGACCAGAGAGAGACCAGAGAGAGGGACCAGAGAGAGACCAGAGAGAGACCAGAGAGAGACCAGAGAGAGAGACCAGAGAGAGACCAGAGAGAGACCAGAGAGAGAGAGACCAGAGAGAGACCAGAGAGAGAGACCAGAGAGAGACCAGAGAGAGACCAGAGAGAGACCTAGAGAGAGAGACCAGAGAGAGAGACCAGAGAGAGACCAGAGAGAGACCAGAGAGAGACCAGAGAGAGACCAGAGAGAGACCAGAGAGAGACCAGAGAGAGACCAGAGAGAGACCAGAGAGAGACCAGAGAGAGACCAGAGAGAGACCAGAGAGAGACCAGAGAGAGACCAGAGAGAGAGACCAGAGAGAGACCAGAGAGAGACCAGAGAGAGACCAGAGAGAGACCAGAGAGAGACAGAGAGAGAGACCAGAGAGAGACCAGAGAGAGACCAGAGAGAGACCAGAGAGAGAGAGAGAGAGAGACCAGAGAGAGACCAGAGAGAGACCAGAGAGAGAGACCAGAGAGAGACCAGAGAGAGACCAGAGAGAGGGACCAGAGAGAGACCAGAGAGAGGACCAGAGAGAGAGACCAGAGAGAGAGACCAGAGAGAGACCAGAGAGAGACCAGAGAGAGACCAGAGAGAGACCAGAGAGAGACCAGAGAGAGAGACCAGAGAGAGAGAGAGAGAGAGAGAGGACCAGAGAGAGACCAGAGAGAGAGACCAGAGAGAGACCAGAGAGAGACCAGAGAGAGACCAGAGAGAGACCAGAGAGAGACAAGAGAGAGACCAGAGAGAGACCAGAGAGAGACCAGAGAGAGAGACCAGAGAGAGAGACCAGAGAGAGAGACCAGAGAGAGAGACCAGAGAGAGACCAGAGAGAGACCAGAGAGAGACCAGAGTGAGACCAGAGAGAGAGACCAGAGAGAGACAAGAGAGAGACCAGAGAGAGGACCAGAGAGAGACCAGAGAGAGGGACCAGAGAGAGAGAGACAGAGAGAGACCAGAGAGAGACCAGAGAGAGACCAGAGAGAGACCAGAGAGAGGGACCAGAGAGAGACCAGAGAGAGACCAGAGAGACAGACCAGAGAGAGAGAGACCAGAGAGAGACCTGAGAGAGAGAGACCAGAGAGAGACCTGAGAGAGACCAGAGAGAGACCTGAGAGAGAGAGACCAGAGAGAGAGACCAGAGAGAGAGAGACCAGAGAGAGAGACCAGAGAGAGAGAGACCAGAGAGAGGGACCAGAGAGAGAGACCAGAGAGAGAGAGACCAGAGAGAGAGACCAGAGAGAGAGACCAGAGAGAGAGACCAGAGAGAGAGACCAGAGAGAGGGACCAGAGAGAGAGACCAGAGAGAGAGACCAGAGAGAGACCAGAGGGAGACCAGAGAGAGACCAGAGTGAGACCAGAGAGAGAGACCAGAGAGACCAGAGTGAGACCAAAGAGAGAGACCAGAGAGAGACAAGAGAGAGACCAGAGAGAGGGACCAGAGAGAGACCAGAGAGAGAGACCAGAGAGAGAGACCAGAGAGAGAGACCAGAGAGAGAGAGAGAGAGAGACCAGAGAGACCAGAGAGAGACCAGAGAGAGACCAGAGAGAGAGACCAGAGAGAGACCAGAGAGAGAGATCAGAGAGAGAGACCAGAGAGAGACCAGAGAGAGAGAGACCAGAGAGAGAGAGACCAGAGAGAGAGACCAGAGAGAGAGGGACCAGAGAGAGAGACCAGAGAGAGAGAGATCAGAGAGAGAGAGGGACCAGAGAGAGAGACCAGAGAGAGAGAGACCAGAGAGAGAGACCAGAGAGAGAGACCAGAGAGAGACCCGAGAGACCAGAGAGCGAGAGACCAGAGAGCGAGGAGACCAGAGAGACCAGAGAGAGAGACCAGAGAGAGACCAGAAAGAGAGACCAGAGAGAGACCAGAGAGACCAGAGAGAGACCAGAGAGAGACCAGAGAGAGACCAGAGAGAGAGACCAGAGAGAGACCAGAGAGACCAGAGAGAGACCAGAGAGAGAGACCAGAGAGAGACCAGAGAGAGACCAGAGAGACTAGAGAGAGAGACCAGAGAGAGAGACCAGAGAGAGACCAGAGAGAGACCAGAGAGAGACCACAGAGAGGTACCAGAGAGAGAGACCAGCGAGAGACTAGAGAGAGAGACCAGAGAGATAGACCAGAGAGAGAGACCAGAGAGAGAGACCAGAGAGAGAGACCAGAGAGAGAGACCAGAGACCAGAGAGAGAGACTAGAGAGAGAGACCAGAGAGAGAGACCAGAGAGAGACCAGTGAGAGACCAGAGAGAGAGACCAGAGAGAGAGACCAGAGAGAGAGACCAGAGAGAGACCAGTGAGAGACCAGAGAGAGACCAGAGAGAGACCAGAGAGATACCAGTGAGAGACCAGAGAGAGAGACCAGAGAGAGACCAGTGAGAGACCAGAGAGAGACCAGAGAGAGACCAGAGAGATACCAGTGAGAGACCAGAGAGAGAGACCAGAGAGAGACCAGAGAGAGACCAGAGAGAGACCAGTGAGAGACCAGAGAGAGAGACCAGAGAGAATTATGTATTAATTGTTTTATGAATGGATGTGTTTCTGCATTTCTCCTACAGGGATCTATAAAGTATCTGTCTCTGTGTGTCAGTGAAATGTGCCATATAATTAAAGTGGATTGGAGTACAGTGCTTTCACAGCAGACCAGGGACGGGTCCAGTTGCAGGTTCTCAGCAGCAGAGGCGCCGTCTGCGTCATACTGCGTGGATCACGTGGTTAGGGGACAGAGGAAGTGAGAGAGGACGCAGCCAGTGAAGTGTAGCCTGCTCAGCGTCAAAGTGACTGCCATGGATCTATACTTGAGCACAGACACATAACACCATCACAATACCCCCGAGCTGCGTGTGCGCGAAGGGACGGGATGGAGCGGCAGTCATGACGCGTGCGTAAAGTTACCATGCTGGTCCGAACCTGGAGGAGGACTGCGGTCTCCGGGCTGGTCCGAACCTGGAGGAGGACTGCGGTCTCCGGGCTGGTCCACACCTGGAGGAGGACTGCGGTCTCCGGGCTGGTCCACACCTGGAGGAGGACTGCGGTCTCCGGGCTGGTCCACACCTGGAGGAGGACTGCGGTCTCCGGGCTGGTCCACACCTGGAGGAGGACTGCGGTCTCCGGGCTGGTCCGAACCTGGAGGAGGACTGCGGTCTCCGGGCTGGTCCACACCTGGAGGAGGACTGCGGTCTCCGGGCTGGTCCACACCTGGAGGAGGACTGCGGTCTCCGGGCTGGTCCACACCTGGAGGAGGACTGCGGTCTCCGGGCTGGTCCGAACCTGGAGGAGGACTGCGGTCTCCGGGCTGGTCCACACCTGGAGGAGGACTGCGGTCTCCGGGCTGGTCCCGTGTTTACCCGGGATTATGACACTTGTTGCTGGAAGGTCGCTGCGGGAGATGTCGGAGAAGAGCGCGACTTTGGCACTGGGCAGTCCGGGGGGAGAGGGGGAGAGAAGGGAGAGAGGGGGGAGAAGGGGGAGAGGGGAGAGAAGGGAGAGAGGGGAGAGAAGGGAGAGAGGGGGGAGAAGGGGGAGAGGGGGGGAGAGAAGGGAGAGAGGGGAGAGAAGGGGGAGAGGGGAGAGAAGGGGGAGAGGGGGGACAGAGCAGAGAGGGAGGTCGGAAGGGAAAGGAGGGAGACGGGAGAGAGGGGAGACAGGTGGGAGAGGAGAGAGAGGGGGGAGAAGGGAGAGACTGGGAGAGGGGGAGAGGGGGGAGAAGGGGGAGAGGGAGAGAGGGGGGAGAAGGGAGAGGGGGAGGGGGGAGAGGGGAGAGAGGGGAGAGGGGGGGAGGGGGAGAGGGGGAGAGGGGAGAGAAGGGAGAGAGGGGGGAGATGGGGGAGACTGGAGAGAGGGGGGAGAGGCAGGGAACACAGACCACAGCCTTACCGAAGAGGAGCTCCACATCCACAGGCTGCACACAGAGGCGTGTGAGGTGAGGACAGATATCTGTGTAATGTTATTGTTATTATTATTCAATTCTAAATGACGTAAGGCACGCATGACGCAAACCAAACTCCGCCCCCGGGCTCAATCCGGTCCGCGGTGTCAGGATTTTAATTATGATTATCACAGTAACTTCTCATTGTCAGAAACTAAGTCATGTTTTACTTTCTCTATCTGTTAAATGAAACTTAATATGAAGTAAATATTAAAGGAGCAGTATGTTAAAATGTGGCCAAAAGTGGTACTGCAGCTTCTCTCACTTGGCCCCGAACAGAATCATCTTAAAGGAGCTATACCCGTTTCTGCAAGGTGTGAATGTTTAGCACCGCCTCCCAGCTCGCTCACAGGCTTCTCATTTTCCCCTCGCATCCCACGGAGCCTTCTAGGCTCCGTGGGATATAGATTTGCGATCTATATGCTAACATTAGCATTAGCACAACTTAAGCTGTACAACAATCACTGATGAAACAGTACGAAAGCAACACACTGCTAACAAAATATATAACTGAAAGATTACCGCTAGTTTCACGTCCGAATGTAGTTTGAGGCAAGAGGAGTTATAGCCACTTATGCTAACATGCTACTGTGTTTAGCAACGCTGTAGAGGCTAGAGGACGCAGCTTCGTTCTGTGATTGGAGGAGAGCGGGCGTCACGCTAAGTCTCTACTCAGCACTTTCTACGGCCTAAATTCATACACAGCTGAATCAATGAGCTCAAGTTCTCAATGAAATTACGGACTACAATACTGCTTGTAAAAGTGAATAGCTTCTTTAATTAGCTCCTTTGTTAGCATTATTGGGCCTCATTCACGAATAACTTCGTAAGAAACTACTCAACTTTCTTCTCAAGTTGTCCTTAAGTAGATTTCTAAGAAGTCCCCACGTGGGATTCATCAACGCACTCGTAAGGCGCTGAATTGTTCGCAGCTGTTCTCTCAGATTGATGAATCCCATTTCCTCGTAAGTACAGCGCGCGTGCCAGGTGCTTTATTAGCATAGGTACTTAGCATAAGTAACCGCCCACTAATGCCCATATAAGGGACTGCAGGGCCGTGTGCAGACGGCAGAGGAAACAGCAACAGGCCTAAAGCAACAGGCCACGGAGCAAAAGAGTCACCCTTTTTTCTTCTTTTACCAGACTGAGAATAAAGTTATAAAATGTTGACTTAAAAGTCAAAATATTATGATAATAAAGTCGAACTAGCAAAATTATGAGATTAATCTAAGAATATGATGAGATTAATCTCAAAATGTTATGAGCTTAATTTAAAAATATATTATGTATTATTTTAAAGATGAATCTCAAAATGTTTTGAGATTAATCTCAAAATATTTTGGACCCTGGGAGGAGATCCAGCGCGGACCAGTGCTGAGACCAATGCAGACCCGAGGAGAGACTGGAGTGACCAGCACACAGAAACCAGCGCGGACAGGAGAGACCGCATAGACTGGAGTGACCTGACTGGAGAGACCGGTGCGCAGAGACCAGCGCGGACCGAAGATAGACCGCATAGACCAGACTTGAGAGACCAGTGCAGACCCGTCTAGATCCATAGGAGAGACCAGCGCAGAGACTCAGCGCGGACCCAGTAACCTCCTGCAGCAGCAGTATATATGCCGTTGTTCTGTGGCCCGTGGATAAAGAAATGCCCCCAATAATTAGAATGGGGTCACTAATACACGGCAAGATTTCCAATGTATTTGATAAAGCGTTGGCACATTTCATTTCAAAATGAATTAAAAAGTAGGCCAGATCTGCAGTGAAAAAGGCGGTATATAAATAAAGATTACTAATAAAGATTACTACAAATAAATAAATACATACATCGATATGACGGACATATCACTGGAATGTTGTATTTTTATTCAACTTCACCAAAGAGGACAACCCCGGCGTGTGAACATGTCGGCACTGAATGCGTACGAGTGCTCCTGAGGACTCGTAGGATTTGTACTTGCCCAAGAGAAATTCTGGTTACGAGAAATATTCGTGAATGCCACTTTCTTCGTAAAAACCGCGTAAGTAGGATTTACGTACAAATCTGTTCCTAAGAACCGTTCGTGAATGAGGCCCATTGTTTGCAACTTTGTTCGTATCTTTGTTAGCATCTTCATCTTCAGTATCTTTCAGTGGGGGCGGGTCCCAGCTCAAAAGTGTCCAAAATGACGTGCGCTGACATGCTGCAATACCACCCCGGGCCTGTGGGGGTGGTGCTGACATGCTGCAATACCACCCCGGGCCTGTGGGGGTGGTGCTGACATGCTGCAATACCACCCCGGGCCTGTGGGGGTGGTGCTGACATGCTGCAATACCACCCCGGGCCTGTGGGGGTGGACCCAGAATAAGAATTACCCAATTGGCTCTTGGCCCAAAGCTCCGTTCCACATGTGTGTCAATGCTGAGTGTTCTGGACCAGTCTAGTTTAGTCGCTGTGGACTTCAGAAGTCACTCGTTCAAATGAATGGAGCTCGTGCAGCCGACAGATGCGTTTTTCACAATTTTCTTGTGGGCGGGACCACTCGCGGCCATTTTGGATTGCTCCATTAGAGCACAATTTTTGGCCCATTAGTTTGAACGGTGGAGACAGACGTGACTCTGTCCGTTAATATATACAGTCTATGGTATCTTTGTTAGCATTATAGCTGGCATCTTTGTTAGCATAATTTTTAGCATCTTCATTAGTATTATTGTTTGCATCTTTGTTAGCATCTTCAAGAGGATCTTCGTTAGCATCTTTGTTAGCATCTCTGACACCGTCCTCCGTTGGCCTCAGTCGCTCTGGATGTAAGTAAGTAGTAAGTAAGTTTTTATTTATATACCGCCTTTTCACTGCAGATCTGAGTCTCAAAGCGGTTTACAATTGTTAATTTTGGGCATTTGTCTCTCACTCCACACAGAGATGGGAGCAGGGTCCAGTACAGGAGGCGCATGCCAGAACTATTGGACATATATTTAGTGGTAGGAGAAACCGGAGTACCCGGAGGAAACCTACGCAGACACGGGGAGAACATGCAAACTCCACTCAGAAAGGCCCTGGTCCGACCGGGATTCGAACCCAGGACCTTCTTGCTGAGAGGCGAGAGTGCTAACCACTCAGCCACCGTGCCGCCCTGTGTGTTGAAAAGGCCTGATCGCTGAACGCAACGTCCTCATTTCCCATTGAAATGAATGAGTAGGTAACCGCCGCCTGCGCTGCTATCGCTAAGTCCTGATGCATGAGCTCGTTACAGCAGAGACAATAGAAATATGCAAATTCACCCAAATCCAACGTGATGAATGATACCTATAAATACAGGTTTTCTGATTAGCATACGGTCGTTAGCGGCTTTAATTGTGTTTTAACGACACGAGAGAGAGGTGTCGGTGCCGCAGACTGTCACCGCTGGAATAATAGAGCTGTGGATGTTCTGCTTTTGATCAATAATCACATTTCTCCCACGAGACGGAAGAGAAAAATCACATTTGTGTCAAAAGCCAAATTCACAATTAGCAGGAAATGTTTGATCATTAGTGATGGAACTTTGCCCTGAGCAGAGATGCACAGGGAGAATATGCAAACCCCACTCAGAAAGCCCTGGTCTGGACCGGGATTTGAACCCAGGAGAAGCAGAGAGGCTAACCACTCTGCCACTGTGCTGAGGGACCAGAGAGAGAGACCAGAGAGAGACCAGAGAGAGACCAGAGAGAGACCAGAGAGAGACCAGAGAGAGACCAGAGAGAGACCAGAGAGAGACCAGAGAGAGACCAGGGAGAGACCAGGGAGAGACCAGGGAGAGACCAGAGAGAGACCAGAGAGAGACCAGAGAGAGACCAGAGAGAGACCAGAGAGAGACCAGAGAGAGACCAGGGAGAGACCAGGGAGAGACCAGAGAGAGACCAGGGAGAGACCAGAGAGAGACCAGAGAGAGACCAGAGAGAGACCAGAGAGAGACCAGAGAGAGACCAGAGAGAGACCAGAGAGAGACCAGGGAGAGACCAGGGAGAGACCAGGGAGAGACCAGAGAGAGACCAGGGAGAGACCAGAGAGAGACCAGAGAGAGACCAGAGAGAGACCAGAGAGAGACCAGAGAGAGACCAGAGAGAGACCAGAGAGAGACCAGAGAGAGACCAGAGAGAGACCAGAGAGAGACCAGAGAGAGACCAGAGAGAGACCAGAGAGAGACCAGAGAGAGACCAGGGAGAGACCAGGGAGAGACCAGAGAGAGACCAGGGAGAGACCAGGGAGAGACCAGAGAGAGACCAGAGAGAGACCAGAGAGAGACCAGAGAGAGACCAGAGAGAGACCAGAGAGAGACCAGAGAGAGACCAGAGAGAGACCAGAGAGAGACCAGAGAGAGAGACCAGAGAGAGAGACCAGAGAGAGACCAGAGAGAGACCAGGGAGAGACCAGGGAGAGACCAGAGAGAGACCAGGGAGAGACCAGGGAGAGACCAGAGAGAGACCAGAGAGAGACCAGAGAGAGATGTAGCAGTATAGCAACAGTTGCGTCCACCCTCTTTCTTTATTTTGCTCCATCCACCCTGCCATCAACTCTGTCCCTGCTGAAGAAAAGCAGCCCCAGAGCATGATGCTACCACCCCCATATGTGACTCTGGGGATGGTGCACTGCGGCTGGCGACGGTGCTAGCTCTGCGCCGTACACACCGCTAACCCGTTAGCTCGGCCTGTATCTGAATGTGGAACACGTTTAGCATCACGGCGTTGGCTGTAGATACTTCTGACAGTGGAGCAGAACTTGGCGCCCGTCGGCCCGTCTCGCTGCCCGTGCACTGACAGCGCCGTGTCACCCGAGGGCCCCAGGGTGCTGCCTCCCCCCTCCTCCCCCGCCCTCCCCCCTCCTCCCCCTGTCACCGCCGCCCTCAGACCCCTCGGCTCTGGGTCTTTGAAGCAGACTGAGAGGTGACATTTTGCACTTCCTCCGGGACGCAGCAGAAGTTCAGCCTCTTTAACTAAAAAGGTGTTTTCTTTTTGACCACCACGAAATTGGGTTCATGGATTTTATAGAATCGGGGCCTTTTTCACCCAGAGAGCTACTTACTCAGGGCCAAAAAGACAGAGAGCTAAAAGACAATCCAATCCACCTTATTTATATAGCACATTTTATAGAGCAAGCTTCCAAAGTGCTGCACAGAGATAAGCTTTATGGTATGTTTGCCTCCTCTGCAAATGGAATAAAAACAATAAAATACTAGTTATCCAATTTTAATCTTTAAAAAAAATCTATTTAAAGATGAGAGCGATAGCCTTGATACGCTTCTATATCATTTCCAACAGCTGTGTGCATACTGCATAAGAACCATGTGAATGTTTAATTGAATAGGGACAGTTCTGTAATTGTGTCAGTATTAGCTAGGGGTAGCTCTCTGCACTCATCATCCCGGGAAAGTAGCTCTCTGGGTGAAGAAGGTTGGACACAGCTTCACATCAGCATCCAGTGGTTTGGACCTGGACTAATTCAACTGTAAATAAAAAATCGTGGAACTAGCTCCGCTCCTGATTGATTAAAAGTCTCTCCTTCTTTGTCCTTTCTTCTCTGTTTCTTTTGTGGCATAAAAACTAAAATGTGATTCTCTAATCTGTGTTGGTGAATCGACAGCTTTGTAACTACTGCTGTGATTTAGGGCGATACAAACACATCCCCAGCTCCAGCCTCACATCAGCTGGACCGGGACTAATGCATCTGTAGACAGAGAAACAAAATGGCGTCCGCATCAGTATCCCCCGCGCTGCTCCGGGTAAACCTTACATATGTCCCCTGTAATAAAAGGCACGTCTTATTTAATTACGTAGATTAAAAGTCGCTCTGCATCTGTTTGGACGCCGCCGAGGTCACGCGCTGCTGCTTTTTTCTCCGACCTCTCGCAATCTGTCGCGGCGCCCGCTCAGGTGAACGCTCCCTCGCGCCGCCTTTCATTAAACGGCGTTAATGTGTGTGTTTTGGTGGCGTTGGTTGTTCCCAGGCGCAGAGGCAGCTGTACGTGGACCCCGGGAGCGGGTACGAGGTGATCACGGCGTTCTCTCACCGCCGCAGAGGCAGGTGCTGTGGCGCCGCCTGCAGACATGTGAGCAGACGGTGGCGCCGCGTCTGACCTCGCCGTGGACCGCGCCCGTTTATACTGTTACTGTAGCAACACATGCTACGGCTGTTTAAGTGCTTTAAGTGTCTTTGTACGCTGTGTGAGTGTGTGTGTGTGTCTGTGTGTGTCTGTATGTGTGTGTCTGTGAGTGTGTGTGTGTGTGTGTCTGTGTGTGTCTGTATGTGTGTGTCTGTGAGTGTGTGTGTGTCTGTGTGTGTGTGTCTGTGTGTGTGTGTCTGTGAGTGTGTGTGTGTCTGTGAGTGTGTGTGTGTCTGTGTGTGTGTGTCTGTATGTGTGTGTGGGTGTGTGTGAGTGTGTCTCTGTCTTTGTGTGTGTTTAAAATCTCTAATTTTAGCATGATGTAGAAACCAGTATAACTCCTGTATATTCTAGTGCATGAATATATAGTTGTATGTTTACATCTGTATGTTAGCTTTTTAACATGTTAGCCTGTTAGCCTGTTAGCATGTTAGCATGTTAGCCTGTTAGCATGTTAGCATGTTAGCCTGTTAGCATGTTAGCCTGTTAGCAGCATGAGGCTCTGGGACACAGGAACAGTGACACATGTGGCAGATGTACGTCCAAAGGAGAATAAGAATATGGAATAAAGAATAATGAAACATGGCTGCCTTCTCCTCCTCTCTCCTCCCTCCTCGTCTCTCCTCCTCCCTCCTCCTCTCTCCTCCCTCCTCGTCTCTCCTCCTCCCTCCTCCTCTCTCCTCCTCTCTCCCCCTCTCTCCTCCTCTCTCCTCTCTCCTCCTCTTTCCTCTCTCCTCTCTCCTCGCTCCTTCTCTCTCCTCCTCTCTCCTCCTCTTTCCTCTCTCCTCTCTCCTCTCTCCTTCTCTCTCTCCTCCTCTCTCCTCCTCTCTCTCTCTCCTCCTCTCTCCTCTCTCTCCTCCTCTCTCCTCCTCTCTCCTCTCTCTCTCCTCCTCTCTCCTCCTCTCTCCCCCTCTCTCCTCTTCTCTCCTCTCTCTCCTGCTCCTCCTCTCTCCTCCTCTCTCCCCCTCCCTCCCCCTCCCTCCCCCTCTCTCCCCCTCCCTCCCCCTCCCTCCTCCTCTCTCCTCCTCCCTCCCCCTCCCTCCCCCTCCTCCCTCCCTCCCCCTCCCTCCCCCTCCCTCCTCCTCCCTCCTCCTCTCTCCTCCTCCCTCCCCCTCCCTCCCCCTCCCTCCTCCTCCCTCCTCCTCCCCTCCCCTCCCTCCTCCTCCCTCCTCCTCCCTCCCCCCCCTCCTCCTCCCTCCCCCTCCCCTCCTCCTCCCCCCCCCCTCCCTCCTCCCTCCTCCTCCTCCCTCCCCCTCTCTCTCCCCTCCCTCCCCCCCCCTCCTCCTCCTCTCTCCTCCTCCCTCCCCCCCCTCCCTCCCCCTCCCTCCTCCTCCCTCCTCCTCCCCCCCCCCCTCCCTCCTCCTCCCTCCTCCTCCCTCCCCTCCCTCCTCCTCCTCCTCCTCCTCTCTCATCCTCCCTCATCCTCCCTCCCCCTCCCTCCCTCCTCCCCTCATCCTCCCTCCCCCTCCCCCCCCCCCTCCTCCTCCCTCATCCTCCCTCCCCCTCCCTCCTCCTCCTCCCTCCCCCTCCCTCCTCCTCCCTCCCCCTCCCTCCTCCTCCCTCCCCCTCCCTCCTCCTCCCTCATCCTCCCTCCTCCTCCTCCCTCCCCCCTCCTCCTCCTCCTCTCTGTGCCCAGTGTCCTTACGGTCAGGTGAACGTGAAGAACCCGGCGCTGAGGAAGAGGTTCAACTCCCTGTTCTACGTGTAGCTCACCCGACGCCTGTGTTTGGGAAAAGTGCAGACGCATATTTTCTCTCTGTTTCAAGTGATGAAATCTGTGCAGCATCTGCGCAACCGCTACCTCCAGCTCCTGCCGTGGCTCCTGCCGTGGCTCCTGCCGTGGCTCCTGCCGTGGCTCCTGCCGTGGCTCCTGCCGTGGCTCCTGCCGTGGCTCCCGGAGGACCCATTGCTCTGCCTCCAGCCCAGTCAGTGCTTCAGCTTTAAAGACCTTTTTACCAGACTGTTTTTCACGTGCAGTGGAGCAAAGTGCGGCTTGTCCCAGAGCAGACACGGAGCAGGTCTTGATGTAATAATAAAGTGATCGTTAGCGGTGGTTTCATCTACATTTTAGGATCGTGTTGTCAAAGAGACTGCAGAGACTCGATCTGCAAATGCTTTGTTATGAAAAGAGTCTGTTTCACACCGAGCTCAGGAATGATTGAGACGTGAGCGAGTGCAAAACATGACAAATATGTTTAGTCCATATGGTTTTAGTCCATTTTGTCAGTCTTAAAATGAGATTTGCCAAAGAGACCAGTGTAATGACAAAGTTAAGTATGATTTTTAAGGAAAGGGGAAACAAGAGCGTCTGGAAGAAACCTACGCAGACGCAGGGAGAACATGCAAACCCACTGAGACCTTGTTGTTGAGAAGCAAAAATGCAAACCACTCAGCCACCACGCCGTGCCGCCCAAAAATAAACTGTTTCTGTGCTTTAAAGACCAAAATACACCGATGGCTCCGATGTGTTTGTTGTTTCTCCATTCCCTGATTCTCTGATCTGTTGTTGGGGAATTGACAACTTTGTGCCGGAGGGTCTCAGGACCGGTATGTATGGACATTTGTCTCTATGTATCTGTTATCATTGTATCCTGTTTGGTTCTCTGATCTGCTGTTGGCGAATCAACAGTTTTGGGAAGTCCTCCGAGATAACTACGGTTGTGATTCAGGGCTGTACAAAAATAAAGTGAGTTTGTAAAGTCCTTCGAGACGACTGCTGTTGTGATTTAGGGCCAGACACAAGTTCATGGAAGTGAATTGGAAAATCGAAACCTCACTGACTGCAGCGTTTTTGATGATTTCACTGATTTTCAAGACCCCACAGAATATTATTTCCTAAGTCTATGTGAAATATGAAACCAGATTCTGAAAGACTGGGTTGTCTACTTTCATCAGCAAAAATAAGTTTGTTTCGAGCTATTTTTGTTCTTCTGTAATCCCCAGTCGAAAAGAGGGACTCAGACAAATACGGCAATGAGTGAATGTGAGAGTAACCAGCTGAAAACTCGTACGGAAAAACCAAATCTCCTCCACTGTGCGAGCTCTTTCCTAAACGCTTGACTTTGTGAATATTAAGAACTTACCTTTGACTTGGAAAACCAGGCCAAAATAACAAAGTCGTAACAGTTAAAAAACGCTGCCACAGCTGCCCTGGCGACCTCCGCACTGGCTTCGAAAGGAGGCCATTGGCAGAACAACAATCTCAGTCCTGGGTCTACAGCCTCAGTCCTGGGTCTACAGCCTCAGTCCTGCATCTACAGCCTTAGTCCTGGGTCTACGGCCTCAGTCCTGGGTCTACAGCCTTAGTCCTGGGTCTACAGCCTGGGTCTACAGCCTCAGTCCTGGGTCTACAGCCTCAGTCCTGGGTCTACAGCCTCAGTCCTGCATCTACAACCTTAGTCCTGGGTCTACGGCCTCAGTCCTGGGTCTACAGCCTTAGTCCTGGGTCTACAGCCTGGGTTTACAGCCTCAGTCCTGGGTCTACAGCCTCAGTCCTGGGTCTACAGCCTCAGTCCTGCATCTACAACCTTAGTCCTGGGTCTACGGCCTCAGTCCTGGGTCTACAGCCTTAGTCCTGGGTCTACAGCCTCAGTCCTGGGTCTACAGCCTCAGTCCTGGGTCTACAGCCTCAGTCCTGGGTCTACAGCCTCAGTCCTGGGTCTACAGCCTCAGTCCAGGGTCTACAGCCTCAGTCCTGGGTCTACAGCCTTAGTCCTGGGTCTACAGCCTCAGTCCTGGGTCTACAGCCTCAGTCCTGGGTCTACAGCCTCAGTCCTGGGTCTACAGCCTCAGTCCTGGGTCTACAGCCTCAGTCCAGGGTCTACAGCCTTAGTCCTGGGTCTACAGCCTCAGTCCTGGGTCTACAGCCTTAGTCCTGGGTCTACAGCCTCAGTCCTGGGTCTACAGCCTCAGTCCTGGGTCTACAGCCTCAGTCCGGTCTACAGCCTCAGTCCTGGGTCTACAGCCTCAGTCCAGGGTCTACAGCCTTAGTCCTGGGTCTACAGCCTCAGTCCTGGGTCTACAGCCTTAGTCCTGGGTCTACAGCCTCAGTCCTGGGTCTACAGCCTCAGATTTCCTTGCCCTTGTTGCTAAAAAACCCAGTTCAAACCAGTGAGATTGCCGCTGACTCTGCTCAAGCTCGTTCTGCTCTTGCCGTCGGTACGAAGACCCGGCAGGTCCCAGCTCTGCACAGAGACAGGTGGAGTTCACTCTGAGGCAAAGCAAGGCCGTGGCGGTGCACAGAGGTGTCACTCCCGTCACCGTAGCCCTCGCCGCCGCCGCCGCTGCTGCATCTTCAGCCTCTTCCGCCTCTTCAGCCCGAGGACTTATCTGTCACTTTGCTCAGACGCGTTGCCATTCAAGACCCTGCAGCCGGACCGTGAAATAGGCCAACGACTCTGATGTGTGGCCGGGCCTTCAGAGAGCGCTCTGGAGGCTGGCACGGCGTCAGTGGTGGTGGTTGTGGGGGTTTCTCTTTTGTTCAGGATGTTGGAGCAGTTGGTGACACGGCGAGGAGAGGATACGGGTTTTCATTGTCGACATGTTTGTGTTGGTTTTTGCTGAACGACGAGAGAACGCAACATTCACGACGAAAAGAGTTACTGTGGTTTTATAGAGAGAGACTGAGAGAGAGACCAGAGAGAGAGACCAGAGAGAGAGACCAGAGAGAGACTGAGAGAGACCAGAGAGAGACCAGAGAGAGAGACCAGAGAGAGAGACCAGAGAGAGACCAGAGAGAGACCAGAGAGAGACCATAGAGAGACCATAGAGACACCAGAGAAAGAGACCAGAGAGAGACCAGAGAGAGACTAGAGAGAGAGAGAGAGAGAGACCAGAGAGAGACCAGAGAGAGACCAGAGAGAAACCAGAGAGAGACTAGAGAGAGAGAGAGAGACCAAAGAGAGACCAGAGAGAGACCATAGAGACACCAGAGAGAGAGACCAGAGAGACCAGAGAGAGACCAGAGAGAGAGACCAGAGAGAGAGACCAGAGAGAGACCAGAGAGAAACCAGAGAGAGACCAGAGAGAGAGACCAGAGAGAGAGACTAGAGAGAGACCAGAGAGAGACCAGAGAGAGAGACTAGACAGAGAGAGACTAGAGAGAGACCATAGAGACCAGAGAGAGACCATAGAGAGACCATAGAGACCAGAGAGAGACCATAGAGAGACCATAGAGAGACCATAGAGACCATAGAGAGACCATAGAGACCATAGAGAGACCATAGAGACCATAGAGAGACCATAGAGACCATAGAAAGACCGTAGAGACCAGAGAGAGAGAGACCATAGAGACCAAAGAGAGAGAGACCTATCCAATCTATCCATCTATGTATTCCTACATGAGGTCTGTCAGTACCCTCCTCGTTGCTTTGAGTCCCAGTGCTTCCCAAACCGTGGTCCTTGTCCCTGTTCAGCAGCTGCAGCATGTGTTACTCCGGAGCAGGAGTGATAGAAATTCATGGTGAGTTTTTGGTTCTTCTCGACCAGACAAATGTAAGTTCGCGATTTTATTACCTTCACGTGGAGTTCCCTTGTCATACCATCGACACATGTTCAGGTCATAAATCTCTAACTTACATTTGTCTGGTCGAGAAGAACCAAAAACCTGCTCAGAAATTCTACTTTTAAGAACGTTCCCAAACTGGATCCTATTACATGGTTTGAAAGTTACGTACCTGAGCTTTAATGTAACGCTCAGAGAAAGTCCACACAAACTGGACCCTAACCTCGGTACCGTTTCAGACCCACATTTTCTCACGAGAAAACCTCATAAAGTCGTTTTTTTAAAACAATTGATAAAAAGTGGGTTTTCCATGTGCGAGTTTTTAAATGTTACGACTGCGGAAGGACTCGGCTCCAGCACATTGTGCGGATGGCCGCAGGATTATGCAACCGCCGTAGAATGATGAAAAATGCAGAAATCCATAAAGAGATTTCACCATCGCAGTCGGGGGGGGGGGGGGGGGGGGGGGTCTACAGGTCACAGGCGACACATGGTCTGTTCTTCACTTAAAAATAGAAATACTTTGATTCTACAGACGAGATTAAAACACTGTTAAATTCAATGTCATCCACTGTTCCAGCAGAGAGACCAGAGAGAGACCAGAGAGAGAGACCAGAGAGAGAGACCAGAGAGAGAGGCCAGAGAGAGAGACCAGAGAGAGAGACCAGAGAGAGAGGCCAGAGAGAGAGACCAGAGAGAGAGACCAGAGAGAGAGACCAGAGAGAGAGACCAGAGAGTGACCAGAGAGAGAGACCAGAGAGAGAGACCAGAGAGTGACCAGAGAGAGAGACCAGAGAGTGACCAGAGAGAGAGGCCAGAGAGAGAGACCAGAGAGAGAGACCAGAGAGAGAGGCCAGAGAGAGAGACCAGAGAGAGAGACCAGAGAGAGAGACCAGAGAGTGACCAGAGAGAGAGACCAGAGAGAGAGACCAGAGAGAGAGGCCAGAGAGAGAGGCCAGAGAGATACCAGAGAGAGACCAGAGAGAGACCAGAGACAGACCAGAGAGAGAGACCAGAGAGAGAGACCAGAGAGAGAGACCAGAGAGAGAGACCAGAGAGTGACCAGAGAGAGAGACCAGAGAGAGAGACCAGAGAGAGACCAGAGAGAGACCAGAGACAGACCAGAGAGAGAGACCAGAGAGAGAGACCAGAGAGAGAGACCAGAGAGAGAGACCAGAGAGAGAGACCAGAGAGTGACCAGAGAGAGAGACCAGAGAGAGAGACCAGAGAGAGAGGCCAGAGAGAGACCAGAGAGAGACCAGAGAGAGACCAGAGACAGACCAGAGAGAGAGACCAGAGAGAAACCAGAAACAAACCAGAGAGAGACCAGAAACAAACCAGAGAGAGACCTACCTATCTATCCATCTATGTATTCCTACATGAGGTCTGTCAGTACCATCCTCGTTGCTTTGAGTCCCAGTGCTTCCCAACCCCTGGTCCTGGTCCCTGTTCAGCAGCTGCAGCATATGTTACTCCGGAGCAGGAGTGATGCATCCGTGTGCCTTTCTCCGCACTCGCCTCGGAGCAAAGGGAGAGCGAGATGTCCACTTCAGAGCACTGACCGGACAGGCTGCAGTCGAAAGCAGTTTACGTGCCAAAAAGTGAGCCACCCCACGGCCACTGCCCTCCTGCTCTGCCACTTACCCACTCCCCAGACCAGCCAGACTCTGACACCGGCTGGAGCTCTGGCTGCGGAAGAAAATAAACCCAAGTGTCAGTCCCGGAATGCCCGAAAGGAACAGCTGTCCTGCTTTGTACAGGCGTATGGGAATGTGTGTGTGGACGTGTGTGTGCGCAGGTTTTGTGACGTTATGTGACGAGATGAGAGAGGCTTGACTCGTGCCGCGGTGGGGAGGTTTAGAGTCGGAATAAGAACTCAAACACGATCAATATTTATATGTTGGCATTTATTTGTTTATTTGGATGGGAGAGAGCAGGAGTAAATACTGTAAAAACTGTAATTCTGTGGTTAATTTCCATCTGTAGATACACTCATAAACACAGACTCATTCAACCTTTACCTGTTTTAAGTTTTAGGGGATACAGGAGCACCCAGAGGAAACCTAGAGACACGGGGAGAACATGCAAACCGCACTCAGCAAGGTCTTAGAGGTGGAATTGAGCCACTGTGCCGCCCAAATATATAAACTATAGTCCAGTCCCATCAGGGGTGCCCACACTTTTGAGTAAGAGCTTAGTACATTAGACATGTTTGACGAAGCTGAAGTTGGCTGAATGACGTGAGAGTTGGACAGATTTTGGTAGAAAAACACATGAAAACTCTTACATAGTGTACAGTCAGGCTGAAGCACTGTATGTCTTCTTTAAAGTTACACGACTCAAATGTAATTAACAAAAATTGTACAAAAGCTAATTATACGGTCCCCATAAGTCACACAAAGCCAACATGTGTGTGTGTGTGTGTGCATGTGCTTGTATTTGTGTGTGTGTGAGAGTGTGTGTGTATTAATCTGATGTTACCAGCAGAGCTTGAGCAGCTCCTTCATCACGTCTGCTCACATAGACAGATACACAAGCAGACACACGGACACACACACACACACGGACACACACATCGCCTCTGGGCTGTGGTCATATGGACAACACCTCCCTGTGGTGAAATTAGCCACAAAAACACAGTGAGTGACAAGCTTCCCGGCCGATCGCTTCAGACAGTCCTGCAAATAGCACACACAGACACACACACACACACAAACACACAGACACACACACGGACACACACTCGACCCCATGCCACGCGGTGCAGATGTGACCGTGTGGAGGATGTACATATCGCTGCTGTTTAACCTTTGTGCCGCGGCTTTGATCGTGTGAAATGTCGGCACAGACTGAAAACAAAGCGAGAGAAAGGTTATAGCGCTGTTATTGTTATACATTGTGTGTGTGTGTGTGTGTGTGTGTGTTACTGTGTGTATATGTGTGTGTTTCCACCTGCTCAGGAGAATGTGAGAGATGTGTCATAATCACTCTGAACGGTTTGATAAAGTCTTTGCAAATACCGTAATTTCTGGACCAAAAGCCCAAACCTTTTTCTAGTTCTTTGATCCCTGTGGCTAATATAGCGATGTGGCTAATATAGCTATGCGGCTAATATAGCTATGCGGCTAATATAGCGACGTGGCTAATATAGCGACGTGGCTAATATAGCTATGCGGCTAATATAGCTATGCGGCTAATATAGCTATGCGGCTTATATAGCTATGCGGCTAATATAGCTATGCGGCTAATATAGCTATGCGGCTAATATAGCTATGCGGCTAATATAGCTATGCGGCTAATATAGCTATGCGGCTAATATAGCGACGTGGCTAATATAGCGACGTGGCTAATATGTGTGTTTTTGTTGTGGTAGAGTTGTACTTTAGATTTTTTGGACTTTTTACTTTGAGTAGCTAGTTGAGTGTCAAAATAGATCAGGGGTCACCAACCTTTTTGAAACCAAGAGCTACTTCTCCGGTACTGATTAATGCGAAGGGCTACCAGTTTGTTACACAATTACATAAATTGCCAGAAAAAGCCAATTTGCTCAATTTACTTTTAACTCTGTTCATATTAATAATTAATGATATTTATCTTTGTGGAAACACTGATCATCTTAACGATTTCTCACAATAAATATATATAGAAACAGATAAATATCAATATGCAACATTTTTCAAATTGAACATTTTCAAACGATCACTTTTTGTGAAATCACAATATCCCATTTTAACCAACTAGCCACTAACATTTTTTTAACAAATCATGAATAATGTTTATTTGTTTATACAAATAATAACTCATGTAAAATACAACAGTCAACTCTCGTCACACGTGATGGTGATCTCACAGGAGTTTAGAAACCAAAGCAGTCCCATTTACGCTGCTACTTTCTCCTCTTCAGAACAAAAACAACAGTGAAGCTGTTTGAGATCATTACATGTGTTTCTACTGTAGGTTTATGTGACAGTTCTAAACTCATCGTTTCAACTCATTTAACTGTGATGCTGTGAATAAAGACACAGTTCTTGTTGGAAACATAGTTATTATTAAAGTGTATTCAGCACAAACAGATAATCAATAAGTGGTAAATATCTGAGAAAAACACGAACTATAAGTGCAGTAGGAATGCAACAGACGCGATAAGCTACAACGCAAACAAGACAGGAACAGTGCAAAAGAAACAACTGCACAGTTTATAAGTTATATCAGGCTCTGCCATGAGACCAAACTACTTTTCCTTCGGTTCCTTCGAAGCACAAAGCGGTCTGCTCCGAAGTGCCTCGTCCGTGCTCCCTGCAGCCGCTCCATGCTTCCGTCCAAAACACACACACGGACCAATCACAGCGGAGCTCCTCTCACACACGGACCAATCACAGCGGAGCTCCTCTCACACACGGACCAATCACAGCGGAGCTCCTCTCACACACGGACCAATCACAGCGGAGCTTGTCTGCGGCGTTGGCCGCGTAGTATTCGAGGGTGCGTGGCAGGCTACGTAAGGGCCTTGATGTGATCCACGCGTTGCGCAAGTGACGTCACGTCACCTCCGTAAGCTCCGCGCAGCGCACTAGGCTTGAGTGCTACTATTTGAGCTATTTTTAGAACAGGCCAGCGGGCGACTCATCTGGTCCTTACGGGCGACCTGGTGCCCGCGGGCACCGCGTTGGTGACCCCTGAAATAGATAATAAGGTGGTGAATAAGCTAGCGACGATTGAGTCCTGGATGCTAACAGTGAGTGAGTCATGGATGCTAACAGTGAGTGAGTCCTGGATGCTAACAGTGAGTGAGTCCTGGATGCTAACAGTGAGTGAGTCACGGATGCTAACAGTGAGTGAGTCACGGATGCTAACAGTGAGTGAGTCATGGATGCTAACAGTGAGTGAGTCATGGATGCTAACAGTGAGTGAGTCACGGATGCTAACAGTGAGTGAGTCATGGATGCTAACAGTGAGTGAGTCACGGATGCTAACAGTGAGTGAGTCACGGATGCTAACAGTGAGTGAGTCATGGATGCTAACAGTGAGTGAGTCATGGATGCTAACAGTGAGTGAGTCACGGATGCTAACAGTGAGTGAGTCATGGATGCTAACGACGGATGAGTCATGGATGCTAACAGTGAGTGAGTCCTGGATGCTAACAGTGAGTGAGTCATGGATGCTAACAGTGAGTGAGTCATGGATGCTAACAGTGAGTGAGTCATGGATGCTAACAGTGAGTGAGTCATGGATGCTAACGACGGATGAGTCATGGATGCTAACAGTGAGTGAGTCCTGGATGCTAACAGTGAGTGAGTCATGGATGCTAACAGTGAGTGAGTCATGGATGCTAACGACGGATGAGTCATGGATGCTAACAGTGAGTGAGTCCTGGATGCTAACAGTGAGTGAGTCATGGATGCTAACAGTGAGTGAGTCATGGATGCTAACAGTGAGTGAGTCATGGATGCTAACAGTGAGTGAGTCCTGGATGCTAACAGTGAGTGAGTCACGGATGCTAACAGTGAGTGAGTCCTGGATGCTAACAGTGAGTGAGTCATGGATGCTAACAGTGAGTGAGTCATGGATGCTAACAGTGAGTGAGTCACGGATGCTAACAGTGAGTGAGTCCTGGATGCTAACAGTGAGTGAGTCATGGATGCTAACAGTGAGTGAGTCCTGGATGCTAACAGTGAGTGAGTCATGGATGCTAACGGTGAGTGAGTCATGGATGCTAACAGTGAGTGAGTCACGGATGCTAACAGTGAGTGAGTCACGGATGCTAACAGTGAGTGAGTCATGGATGCTAACAGTGAGTGAGTCATGGATGCTAACAGTGAGTGAGTCACGGATGCTAACAGTGAGTGAGTCATGGATGCTAACAGTGAGTGAGTCATGGATGCTAACAGTGAGTGAGTCACGGATGCTAACAGTGAGTGAGTCACGGATGCTAACAGTGAGTGAGTCATGGATGCTAACAGTGAGTGAGTCACGGATGCTAACAGTGAGTGAGTCATGGATGCTAACAGTGAGTGAGTCATGGATGCTAACAGTGAGTGAGTCACGGATGCTAACAGTGAGTGAGTCATGGATGCTAACAGTGAGTGAGTCATGGATGCTAACAGTGAGTGAGTCATGGATGCTAACAGTGAGTGAGTCACGGATGCTAACAGTGAGTGAGTCATGGATGCTAACAGTGAGTGAGTCCTGGATGCTAACAGTGAGTGAGTCATGGATGCTAACAGTGAGTGAGTCATGGATGCTAACAGTGAGTGAGTCCTGGATGCTAACAGTGAGTGAGTCATGGATGCTAACAGTGAGTGAGTCACGGATGCTAACAGTGAGTGAGTCCTGGATGCTAACAGTGAGTGAGTCATGGATGCTAACAGTGAGTGAGTCACGGATGCTAACAGTGAGTGAGTCATGGATGCTAACAGTGAGTGAGTCACGGATGCTAACAGTGAGTGAGTCATGGATGCTAACAGTGAGTGAGTCATGGATGCTAACAGTGAGTGAGTCCTGGATGCTAACAGTGAGTGAGTCACGGATGCTAACAGTGAGTGAGTCATGGATGCTAACAGTGAGTGAGTCATGGATGCTAACAGTGAGTGAGTCACGGATGCTAACAGTGAGTGAGTCATGGATGCTAACAGTGAGTGAGTCACGGATGCTAACAGTGAGTGAGTCATGGATGCTAACAGTGAGTGAGTCATGGATGCTAACAGTGAGTGAGTCATGGATGCTAACAGTGAGTGAGTCACGGATGCTAACAGTGAGTGAGTCCTGGATGCTAACAGTGAGTGAGTCATGGATGCTAACAGTGAGTGAGTCATGGATG